TCAATTTGCTCTTCTTCACTCTGCTATGTATTTCTAATACAGGTAACCCAATTAAGCTCTGAGTATGTGATTGAGAAAGAAGGGCAAAAAAGACCAACATGTCTTATGGCACCAATAATAAAACTTTAGCTTAAAAACTACCGTGTAATCTTTGCTACTCTCTGCTTCACATTATGGGCAGATAGTTCAGTCATATTTTGTGCACTGGAACATGGCTCTTGTAAAAATCCTAAATAAATACATGCATCAATGTATTCCTTTGTTGATTTAAAAAAAAATAATAGTGTCTCCATTAGGATTTTTGTATGAATCCCATACGAGCACCCTCTACCTCCAGAGGCAACTCATTTCAATTTGGAATAGGTCTCTAAACATTGTTAGAAAGTTTTTTCTTACGTCACTTCAGTCTAAACAAAATAATGAAGCAAGAGTACGAAGATCTGATTGCAGAAGCTGTCTTATTTCCCCTTCCATCCTATATCTAAATGGACCACCCTCTTACAGAATAAAATTACTTCCCCCTTCTCAAACTCTCCCTAAAGCAAGGAAAGGTGGTTCACCTGGCTTCCTTGAATGTAAAGCAAAGGGAAGAACCGGAGAGGTCAACAAAGTCCTGGAGCAGGTGTCCTCAAACCACAAGGCACGTTTTAAAGAATCTTTAATGTGTATGACACTCCCTCAAATAACAGAAAGGTGGCTTAATTTACAAAGAAACCATAAGATCACTTGGACAACTCACATAACCTTGGGGACTCAGTTTCCTCATCTGTGAAATGGAAGGGGTTGGATCAGATGACCTCTCTAAGGTCCTTCCAGTTCTAAATCTATGATTGTTAAGATCATTTACCAAGTTGAAATTGTCATTTTTCCAACTTCTTGGACATGACATTCTCTGAATTTTTTTCTCCACCTTATTATTGATCCAGAATCTCTGTACAGCAGAACCAAAAGGCAATAAATGGACATCCAGAAATTTCTGTTGGGTCAAGCAGTTTGTAAACAATGGCCTATCTACCTCTCTGTGCTAGAGTCTCCCAACAATCACAGTGCTTATCACATCACTCTTTATTACCCCTTTTCAATACAGAAAACTATAGTCTTTTTTCCCCCCTCTGCCTGTACCCCACATATCATCTTGGGCTTCAAGGATAGTTCAATAAAGCCAAAGTCACTCCTAAATTACCAAATTTCTTTAAACCAACTTAAAATGTTCATCTTCCCCAAAGCTACCCCTGTTCACCAAAAACAAGATTTTCCCCTTCAGGCAAAACAAAAACATTCACTCTCAACCCCACAAAATTATTCTCTTCTCTATTTCAAACATCCCTCCCATCATGACTTCCCCCTTGAATTACTGATTTCAATTCCTAGACCATTTCCAGTATGAGAGCTGTATTCACAGCCCTTAAAATAACCAAAAACCATTTAAAAAAAAAAACCAAACCCTTTCATTTAGCCCTAGTAACACTACCTTGCAATATTCAAACGCTTTTAGATATTATTTCATTTGATCCTTACAACAACTGTGTGAGATAAGTAGAGCAAATACTATTACCTCGACTTGACAACTGAGGAAAACTAAGGCTCAGAGGCTAAATAACTTGGCAGAAGTCACATGTCTGAGTGGCAGTTACAAGTAAAACTGAGGCTTCATAGGCCCCTGTTCTTTTCACTCTATTACCCTATCACCCATTCTGGGGCAGGCAAGATTGCTCTGTGGTCTGGGAATCAGAAAACCTGTGTTTGTGGTTCTGGCATTCATTCATTAACTTGCTGAGTGATCCTGGGCAGGTCACTTTGTTTCTTTGAGTCTAGATTTCCTCTTTTGTTAAATGGGGATAATATTGGCACTACCCACCTCACAGGGTTATTAGAAAAGTACTCTAAAAACCTTAAAGTTCTATAAAAATGAGCTCTTATTATCATTTCCTGAGAATTTCTTAAGAATATTGCTGTTACAACAAGACTAAAGTGGAAATATGTTTACATGATTGCACATGGATAACCTACATTAGATTGCTTGCTATCTTGGGAAGGGGGGATAAGAGGAAGAAAAAATTTGGAACTCAAAATTTTATTTAAAAATTTAAAAAAAAATAAGTAAATAAAAATGAATGCTGGAAACTATCTTTACATGTAATTGGGAGAAAAATACTATTAAAAATAGAATATAGTTGTTACCAAATAACATTTTCCTCAAAAGATTTATGACCACCTTCTCAATATTCTTTCCAGACTCTCTTCCAAGACTTTCACCACAATCCCTTTTCTGGATTTTTTATACTTTTCTCCCCCAAAGCCTCATTTTGACAGTAACAGCTTTCCAAATACGAATAGTCAGCCCTGTTCCTAAAAGGAGACTTCTCATCCTTATTCCCAAAATACCGTCCTGAGGACTCAGTAAACTGTCGATCCATAAATTCTAAACATGGTGTTTTACTTCTTTCTACTTCCACAAATCAGATGACCCATTTTAAGAGAACAGGTAACACTACTTTACAAATCCATGGTCTTCAGGCATTAATCTGGGTTGTCTGGCCACAATGTCCCCAATAACTTGTCTTCCATAAGTTTCCTAAACAATTCTCTTCTGATAAATTGCTAGATAATCCAGTGGAAAGATCCCTGGGTGCTGAAGTCTAAAGACCTATATATTCAAATCCCACCTGTATCTTCTATTAATGAATGAATAAAAATGCATGTGCCAAGTACTGTGCTGAGCACTTCAGATGCAAATACATAAAAAGAGTCTCAGCTCTCAAGGTGACCATCCTCTATTTGGGGGAGACAACACATAGAAAGAGTCCAGGAGTTCTAGGGGGCTGTGGTGGGGTAGAGGGCAAAGCCTAGGAGTCCTTAAGAGTACACTAGCAGGTTAGATGGCAGTGATCAGGGTATAGTTGTAGGGCCAATGGTAAGGCCTGGTTGTTCAGCTGTGTCTGATTCCATGACCCTATTTGGGGTTTTCTTGGCAAAGATACTGGAATGGTTTGCTATTTCCTTCTCCAGCTCATTTTACAGATGAGGAAACTGAGGCAAACAGAGTGAAGTGACTTGCCCAGGGTCACACAGCTAAGTAAATGTCTGAGGTAGGATTTGAACTCGGGTACTCCTGACTTCTGGCCCAGTGCTCTATCCACTGCTCCCCCTCCACTTCTCTTGAGGGTTGTAGCTGGTCACTCCACACTGATAGATTAGTCTGGGCAGCCCTGAGATCATGGAAGAGGAAAGCATATCCCTTAAAAGATCTTCGTATCTGTATGCCTGGGCAAGTCACTTACCTAACCAACCAGTCAAACAAGCATTTATTTCCCAAGCACTGTGCCAGGTCCTAGGGACAAATGTAACTGCCTGTTCACAAAGAGCTTACAACCTGGCCGCCTTCCTAGGACTGTTTCCACATGTTTGAAATGAGGGGATTGGACTAGCTGCCTTCTAAGGTCTCTTCCAGCTCCTTCTCCATCTAAGGTCCCACAGCCATGTGCAGCTCCCCTTACAACTCTTTCTATTTCTTAATAACTGCCAAGATTTACATGGCCCACTTCTACGGTTATTCCTTGAATCTTGGGCTCCTGCCTACTTGGCAAACTCTGCCCTCAGTCCCCTTCAGAATTGTGTATTGACCAACACGACTTCTAAATTCTGACTATCACCACCTCTTTCCCATCCTAGGCTTCTATTTCCCCTGAATCCTGTCACAATCCTTCTGTCCTACAGAAACTCAATCCCTTTTGCCTAGCACCTTTCCCTGTGCCACAAGCCAACCTGACGACCACCTCTTAAGTGCCACACACCGAGGTTGTGTGGGTCAATCACGAAGCCAGGACACTCCAAGGCATCCCAGCTCTGTGTGACCCCAGCAAATCAGTCACTATAGAATGCTGTGGATAACACTTGGATTACCCATCTAGCAGGACTATTTCTAAGTCAAGTACTATCCAAGTATGAACTCCAGCCATTACTATTCCTATTGGGAGATCATGCCCCCCATTCTCCATCCTCTCTTCTGCCCTACCCTAAAGTTCATTTTCTTTACTCTCATTTGGGAAGCTGGGATCACTGACCATTCTTCTCTTCCTTTATTCCAAAGTAGGGAGAAGGTGAGAGATCATTCACACCACACAGTCCCTCTACCCCTTACCAGTGGATAGCAAGGGCTCTTTTTCACCTCCTCCGTGTGTGTGTGTGTGTGTGTGTGTGTGTGTGTGTGTGTGTAAGAGATCCACTCTCAAACAGTCTGCCCCCTCCCACACCTACCATCCCTGCTCCAAAACTGTTGAATACTGGGGACACAGTCACCCTAACATTACCATTTCCTCTTCCTCCTCACAACAGCATTCCCAGTACACACTCCTCCAAACCCAAAGGCAGAATTCATCCCCACACTCCCCAATAACACTGTCTAGTCTTGGACACTCCCAACCCCCAAGATTGGAGGACCATCCCAATGGACTCTCCCATATAGAGAGAATACCGTCCTCCCACTTCCTAACAAATGAGCCCACAGGGTTCATTTACCCTGAGACGGCCCCCCCACCAAACAATAACTCTTCCTGGCACTTGTTCTACGTAAGTCGAGTGACCCAGAGCCTCCTCCTCGGTAACGCGGTCCAGTCCTCTTCATCCACCAAGATCAAGGGCCATTAGCCTCCCCAGTCTCCTCTTCAATAACACTCTCTCTGATTCTCCCCAGAACCCAGGAGCCACAGCTTATTCCCCGAACTGAGCTCTCCCCAACTCTGGCACCGCTGTCCATCCTCCGGAACCACCGAGTCTAGAAGCTCGTCCCCCCAAAGCCCTGTCCTCCCTGACCCCCAAGCCCGGGGGGCGCGGCTCTCCTCGCCCTGTCCGCTCCTGCCTGACCCCCCAGGAGGCCTGCTCCGGCCGGGGCCCGATGGAGAGCCCCCGGGGGCGGCCGGGCATCCCCGAGGGGCGGCGAAGGGGCGCCCCGGCCGGACCCCGTCCCTCCCTCCCCGCCGGGCCGGGCCGGGCCGCCTCACCACGAGTAGGTCTGCTCCGCCATGGCGCTCGCTGCTGCGGGCCTCGTCCTCCGGTCCGGCTCGGGCTCGGGTCTGAAGCTCGTCGGGCGCTGGGCCGGGCGGGGCTGCGGGGCCGGGCCGGGCCGGGCAGGCCGCGGCGGCGCGGGGCCGCGCCGAGCCGGGCCGGGCCTCCTCCGCCTCCTCCTTCTCCTCGGGCCTCGCTCCTCCGCGGGCAGCGGGCGGCGCCGGCCTCAGGCTCTCTCTCACCGGCCTCCTCCGCGGCGGCGGCGGCTCCGC